CTTTCGAACGGCGTTTTCCTATCTCTTTCCTTATTAAATTTCAGAACGACACTTGCCAGCGCTCGCCGGAAGTGAGAATTCCGTGTGACACAAAACAATCAGCAATTTCACAGGAGATTCACATCTGTACTTACCTCATCTGTGGCAGAGGCTTTAACTTCGCCTTTCCCTTTGCCGCCTGCGCTCCTTCGCCCAGCGGCTACGCTCGTGTTTCAAGATCCGCCATGTAAAGTGTAGTGAAATGTATCTCATCGTAATATTATTAAAAACTAAAGCCTCTGCGGAGGAGAGAGTGACACGACACTAACCGGCGCGGTCTTGTCTTGAACAAAACCTGACAAAACATTCCAAATTTTCCCGCCAAAAACTCCGAAAGTCACAGGCACAGAAGATGTCATTTTAAAAAATATTTCAAAAATACCAATATACAACAAAATACACACTAAAGTCCAATTTCAATTTTTTTCCACATATTGTTCCACCAAACCACGATAAGGGGGCCTATTATAGGGGGTACGCATCTCCGAAAACCGCGCTGTTTTTCAAATTTAAACCGCAAACCGCGCACTCATTTCTTTTTTAAACGTAACCGCGTTCAAACCGAGCCATATGTGGTAAAATATTTCGCAAAATAATATATTCCGCAACACAGTGGCGTGCTGGGTAGTAATTTTCTGGGGGGGGGGCAGTGGGCTGGCAACCAATATGCGCCCTATAATGTGACGCTTGATAAACGAGGGCCGAAGGCACGAGCCGAGCGGTGCAGGTGCGAGGTTTGTCTAGGGGGATCCGGGACATGCCCCCCAGGAAAATTTTTGAATTTAGGGTCTCTGAAATGCCATTTCCTGGACTTTGGGGGAAAATTTTAAAGACTAAATCTAATGGTCAGGAAACGGCATTATAACGTGTCGAATTTGCAATTTGGTTAGAATTTAATAGTACTTAAATTGGGCAATGCTAACTACTTCCAGCAATTAATCTAATCCCAATTCTATTCTCTACTATTCTCCGGTGTTCCGTGTTCCTGATTTTACTAATTTGATTTCGTCCGTTTCGAGGCCCTGTGGAACAACACACGCGCGCGATCGGAAGATGAATGCCATGAACTGAATTATTGCCATGAGCTTGTAAAATATTTCCTAACTGCATGTTAAAAACTATCCGAAAACCGCTATTTATTTTGGTCAATAACCGAATCCGGAGGGCTAATTTCGACATTTTCCGTCTCCGCACGATTTCCAGTTAACCGCAAACCGTACAAAATAACTGGATATAACCGAAATCCGACCTCAAAATATGGCTAAAACCGCATAACCGCGAAACTATAATAGGCCCCCCGATAACACAACACATTTTGCCCTCTAAACATTTTAAAATTAACAAAAACATTAAATAGGAAGTATTATTTCATAATTTATAAAAATATGCTCTTCGGGCGAAGATCGGGAAAATCCTAAGTTGTCCGAGCATTGACCTGTATACAACACTGGATAGGTCTGTTTTTCACGTTCAAAGCTTAGGCCACATAAAAAAAAATGTTGGTTAGCGTCCTTAGCTTTTGCCAAAAAGTGGGCGGGCGGGCGCTTTTTTTTTAATTTTTACTAATTTTTAACGCCTTGGTTTTACTCACTGTTAGGTCCGAAACTGGATTTTCTTGCGCAGTACAGATATTTTTTTATATATTTCAAAATATGATTCATACCGTCATTTTCGCACGCAATTTCGCAAATTATTAACACAATTGACTACCGTCAACAGAAATACTGCGTATATTAGAGCCCGTTGATCAATAAATTTTAAAAAATCCTGAGCGGGGCCTTTTTTGTGGGCGGGCGGAGACGCTAACCAACTATTTTTTTTTATGTGGCCTTACTTCATGTAACCAAGACGAACATTTCATTCGCTATAAATGCCAAGGAAGGCTAGGTGAAGGCGGGGGAAGGCTAGGTGAAGGCGGGGGAAGGCTAAGGAACGCTAAGGAAGGCTAGGTATTAATGGTTTGGGTATTTCGGTTGTTCCGCTTGTTCAGTTGTTCATACATTGAGAAAGTGTCAAACTTCGAACAACTGGTTTGAACCACTTCGAATAATCGAACACAGGTGACGATGAAACTGGGAATTGGGCCAACCTGTTTAACAGGGTCTCGACTCCGCCATGCCCCCCGAGGTGAGCCACTGGGATGCACCTTGCCTCCCCTTCTTATTAATTAGGTTGAGCCACCCCCAGAAACTATTTGAAAACCCTTGTCCCCCATTTCTCAACCCAACCGGGCCTGCCCTCCCTCGTAAACAATAAGTGTTCATCCTAAATGGAACTTTCACAAGAGTATGTCATGAAAGTACAACTAGTATACTTTACAGTGTTCTGGGAATTCAACCCAGAAACGAACAAGTACTGTGTCTTCGCGATTTGCAAGACTAGAGCAGCGACGATATAGATCAGGAAATTTAATTATCTGCTGTTTGCACTAGTTAGAAAATTTTAATTTAATATACACAACTTTGTATTTTAGCAAAATTGGGTATAGTTCCAATAAAGATCAACCCTCCCCCTCAAGGAGGAAATTTGCACTGTCTGGTGGGGGGAGAGGAGAATTATTGACCCATTTGTAAATTACTTTTCCAGTGCATTTTTGAGAAAGGTGACATATGTGTTATGTAGATTTTGGAAGACCACTTTATTAAAATTGCTACAGAATATAAAGACACATGTACTCAGCGACAAACATAAAAATATACAACAGCTATATACTCCATTGTTTTTCGAACAGTACTAAATTCGTCCCGAACACGGACACTGTTTTTTGTTTTGGAATTTTTAGATATTTTGCCAAACGAAAAAATACGTAATCACCCGAGGAAAACCAGAGGATCTGGTGAAAAACCTTGGTGATTACGAGTCCGGATTCCGAAAACCCCGGGGGCAACCCTGTGTGACCGAATTAACTATAATAGTATATACCATACCTACCCATACCTACCAAAATCCAGAAAAGTAAAAATCTTGCAAAAAAAAATAAAAATAAAAATGTCACGAGATGTTCAAAAAAAAATTGTAGACCACCCGAAAATTCAGTCTACAGATTGCGCAAGACAAATACATCTCTTTTTATGAACAAATTGTTCCACTAAGGATATATTTGTCTTAACCTTGAAACTTGAAAATATTTCAGATATGTTCAGGACAAGGTGCGTGGCAAATGAATCCAATGCCCCAACATATTTTACGATAGTTTGTAAAAGCTGTTAGGACACTTGGATGCATTTTGAAGATGTGATGTGTGCATTTCTATATTTAGATTTTTTGCGCATTTCGCTTTTATCGCGCGCAAGTAAATTGCAACGCGCGCACTCAATTTAAATTAGCATGCACTGGTTTTCATGCCCTTGATTTTACTAAGCATGCAACTGGGCGCATTTAATTTTATTTTTCATGAAACTTTGCGCACTTTATTCTGATCAACATGCACCTTAATTTGTTTTTCAAGTCAAGACTATATAGAGCACACGTCACTATTTGCACATGGAGTACACTCACCGACTGTACTCCGCATTACAGCAGCACGACGCGCGCGTCGCTTATGTCAAGTTAATTACTGCGCGCGACCATGGTGTTTTTATGATCCATGGTTCGACCAAGTTCATATACGAACAATGCAAGACAACACGGAATGAAACATGGCAAACATTCTATATTGCTATTGCGACCATATATAACCTTGATCTGCAGAGTGTTTTCACGGCGGCAATGTTTGGGAACAAGTTAAAGTACCGAAATACAAGTAAACCAGAAACCATTATTTTATAATACTTGTCCGTCAAAGCAACACGTGAAAACACCCTATTTTTCCTGGCGGTCGTTTCAACTGAGTACTTATACTACGATTTATAAAGCGCGCGCGCGCAATGCTTTAGCAACCTAAAGAAACGAGCCTATCTCCACTTTGGAGCGAGAACTGCGTTTCTTATCGTTAAGCCCCTAATTCAAGATATTTTAGGCAGAAAATGGTTTCTTTTTTGTTGTTGTTTTTCTGCAACGAGTATTCTTGGACTAGTGTGGCTTAAATTCAAAGTGGCTTCGCTGTTTTCTTTTTTACTTTTCTCTTTTTCGCAATATCTCTTTTTTTTCCACTTTGAATTGGGTCTGTAAGTACGTTTCAGCAGGAAAATAGATTCCATTTTCCTGTTGTGTTAAATACTTCTCAGAAAGTTACTGGCGCAAAAGTTTGACGATAATGAATTACAGTATAAACATGCCTTATAGTACGCACGCCTTATTTCTAGCTGCCTAACCTCCCTAACTAGTGCGCGCGCGCACATACCCTTTCAAAAACCTGCAAGGGAAACCCCCGAATGTGTAGTCTCGGTCATGCCCCTAGCTTAACTTAACTTAACCTAGTGTGCCGGTTGCACCTGGTGAGCTTCCACAAACAGGGGTAAGGTTTGCATGCCTTATGGTAATGTCTTCCGGCATCGTCGAGACGCCATAACAGAGAGGGGACCTAATCTCTGGTAGCGAACTGTTTTCATATAACTCGGGGCAGAAAACTAACGTTCGAAACCAGCGATATACATGCACTACGGGCGATGAAAGATACACCTTTCCACGACAATTTATTATTCACTAAAGCCTAGACTATTTATCATTACAATAATTATGTCATTAAAGTCCTAAGCTGATCTTTTTGTAGTTGGAAACCGGAGTACCCGGTAAATCTTGTCCAAGAATATCCACCAATCTTCTTACGGGTACCATTTGCACCCTCTAAGCTATGGATACCATTTGCACCCAGTTTAGTTATCCTACCCAAGAAAAATTATGCCAGCTTTTCAACAAAATTTTGGCTACACCCATATATATTACGTACACAAATATACAGATCATGTAATGGATTAAGGTTAAGGTTATAGGGTTAGATTTAACCCCAAGCCCAAGCCCAACACATTTCATGATATTTCTATACATTTATGAACGTAACGTATCGATATAAACAAAAATTTAAAGTCTGACAAGGTTTTACTCGTTTGCCTATACTCTGGATACTAGCTGCGCGCTGCGTTTATCCATGCACAGACACGGAGACACCTAAGCAGTACATTTACACAATAGAGACGAACATTGGCACGAACAGACCGCAAATAGCTAGTGGGTCTCAGTACGAGTTACTAGAGTGAAAAAATAATCTTCACTCTTTTTCATTTTATGTAGTAGTCTTGTATTTGAAACAAATAAATTGCTCCAGGAAGTGCCAATATTTTTTTATGTTGACCATCGTTTGGATTGCAACACTTACTGAAACCCACCAATAACCGAACCGAGTGCATGCAACGAACCACGTGACCGAAAGCTCAAATGTTAACCTCTTTAAGATTGACTTTCGATTGCAGATGATGTCGAAATTCTGATTAATTGAGGTCAAAATTGTTCCTCAATTTTTATTAGCATGCAAACATCTGAATAAAAATCAACCTTGCGTGCAAATGTACTACTAACGACAGACCGCCAGGAATTTTAAACCGGTTAACCCAGAGACTTCACCGACCACATGCAAATTAGAGTCTTGGATATGAATCCTACAGATATACTGCCTGTTAGCAGGCTAACTACTGCCTGATAGCAGGCTCACTACTGCCTGATAACAAGCTAACAACTGCCTGTTATCAGACTAAACCATCTAACCTTGAGGCAGTCATCTCGTTGCCGTCGTGTAGCTTTCGTTGTTTAGGTACATTGGTAGGTAACCGTCGATCGCGAGGTACATTTTATCCACAAATGTTCATAATAATCCACAAGTGTTCGTTGTAATCCATTAATGTTCACAATATCTTTAATAGTACACAGTGTCACAGTAATCCGTATTTATCCAATGGTATCCGCTACGACGCCCACTGGACCCTCCCATCCGACACCTCAAATGATGTTTTGGTCAGTTTTAAATTTTTTGATCAATATTTTTAATACAATTATAGTATCTACGAGAAACACATTAACTAGTCAAAAACCATGAAATTCTTGAAAGATTAAACCTCAAAGACTGTTTATATTAAAGATATTCAAGCCGAAATCCGAAAGTCTGCATCAAAATAATAACGGAAAAATGCTGGATAAAGCCATACAGACAAAAAGCCGGACACAAATCAAAGTTTGGTGGTACTTCGGCTTGATCTTTCCAGGCCTACAGGCGAGTTGTCCCAATCTCATGCCACGAACAAAAAGCACAAACGCAAGGTTGGCCAGACCTTACATTTGCGCTAGTTGATCACGACAATCGATCAGAGCAACTCAACTGTAGGTCGGGAAAGCCTGAGTATCTCCGAACTTCGACGAATGATCGACCACTCCTCTGGCATGATTTTACCTAGCATTTAAACCAAATACCAAAGTGATGTAAACTTCAAAATTTAATTTCAAATATCTTTCAAATAAACAAACTCCCAGATAGAAACTTCCGAATTTCAAACATTTTGATTTCGTTAAGAGCTTTTCACGAATACCAAGAAATGTAGAAAATTTGAATAAATTGCGAAATTAATGAAAATGTGCCACATTTAAATTTGTTTTATGCATTTGGGCGTCTTCAGGGTGGGCCCCCACGTACTTTCGAACACGCACAACGAGAATCACGAGGAAAATATACCTTCTGTAATGTACAACATCTTTCATGATGGTATGGCGTATTGGTTATGGTCTCTGGATGGTACGGCGTCGACTGTCGCTTGGCAGGTCTTTGCATCTCATTCACAGCTAGCTGATTGAACGAAATCTGTTATTATATGCCTTCGTTACTGTCTCTGGATAAGTGGCAATCTCTTCCAAACTTTGCACAAACGAAATCTGACAATGAATGCTTTGGGTTTGCAAAGGAATGGAGCTGGTGGCTGGTCTCATTTGTCAGCCTTCTGGTCTTTCTCGTTTTGCTTCGACTGCTAGGCGAGCGCCTCTTCAAATCTGTGCAGAGGTATTTCTGTAGTGTTTGCCATCGAAATGATCGACTTTGAGGCAGTCTAAAAAATTGGACAATGAATTGTTAGTTTTAAAACAACGAGTTATTCAATGTCGTTTTCACAGGGTGTGGTTATTCAATTCAATATTTTTATTTTAAAGAATGCGTGGTGCATCTATGCATAAAATTAGGGCATGTACCACGAGGACTTTTCATCTCTAAATTTCGTAAAAATATTGGTTGAAACTCTGCTTAGACAAGCTCAAGAAACTGGGAAAGCTTAGCCTTCCCTCTCAGAGAACAATTTGTACATAAAGACCATAAACGATTGGTTTGTAAAAGCTAAAATGTTCGAAAATTATATGACACGCCTGCATGTGAAACTGAACATGCCTAAAATAAGTCTGCAATTCGCGCGGTATGGACAAAAGTTTCACCAATATTGTAACTAAACTTGACTCAGAGTGTTCGTAAGGCTACAAAGCAATGCTATAAGACGTTCTAGGTGTACTGGGGAAGCTTAAAAACGAGAAACAAACAAGAATTAGGAAACGCCCTTAATGGACATTATGCTTACCATGTGCTTCAGCATTTCGACCATGTCGGCGACTTAAATTAGTTCACTTTCTCTTCAAATTTTCGCCCTAAAATCGCAGATAAACTAAATATGAGTTAAATGAATCAAAGCTAGGGTATTTCTGAACAATACTGCTAGGAAAATAGGGAAAGACACTGAGAAAATAAAGCGACTGAGCGTTGAAACGAAGCGCTTGAATGGGAATCAAATTGAATACATACTACAATGACTGATAGACACGTGTTTTAAAAAACAGTAATAACTTAACAAGAACAACTCAAAAACGTTTAAAAAATAGCTAAATTTAATACTGACCTTTCCCTCTGCATGGCGTAACGATTTTATTTCGAAAACGTTTCATAAAAGCAAAGTTTTGCACAAACTTTGATGTGTACTTTCCTAAACTTCGAGTCAGTCAGAATGACGCCTTCAAGCTCGAGCAGAAATATTTAAATTTGCCACGAATGCATAAACCACACCCTTGTTTGCTATTGGTAATTTTTTTACGAGCTCCGATTGGCTTAGCTTGCAAAAGCTTTGCTATCATTGGCTACTGCTAAAAGCAAGCATTGGTCTGAACTCCCTTGGGGATTAAATACGGTCGCTTATAGTTATACTGTGGAATGTTTACGTGTTTGAAACTGGAATTTAATTATCGCACAAGACTTTTAGGCAGCGTTTACACTGTACCGTTTTCGTAGCGTTCTCGTATTGTTCGAGAGAACTAGACTATTGTCTTGCGTTCCCTTGAGGATTAAGAACAATACGAGAACGCTACGAAAACGGTACAGTGTAAACGCTGCCTAAAATGCCCATTGAAGCTTTTTAAGTTAGGTCTGTGTTTATTGAACCATGGGTGCATGAACGAATTATTTTAACTGCTTTTGTCAGTAAACTGTTTACATACGGCAATAGGCTGGAAAGCAAGGGGATCATTGCTTGGTTGTCTCATAACTGACTTATAAATCCCACTGTTCTCCATGCCTTCCAATCGCGCATTGTTTTCAAATATTTTTTATATCATATATTGTATTCTCAGGATGTCTTGTCTTTTCGGAATTTGTTTTTTACTTTTTTTTTTCTTCAAAATAGGGACTTTAAGATTGACGCGTTTACGGCAAACTGCTATTAAACCACAAATTTCAAATCGTACTTTGAAGTCAACTGTTAACTGTTCGAAGTTAGTGCAACTTGTGCACTATTAAAATTGGACGATGAATAAGCTACTTTTAACTGTCGAAACTGTATATAGGCCTTACTTTCAAATGCGATTTGGACTTTTTCGGGGTCGGTGTTTTCATAGCCTGCGAATACAGACGCCTCACATCGGGCGAAATGTAGCGCCCGAGGGAGACCGCGGTTCGCCCGATGTGAGGCGTCTGTATTCGCAGGCTAGTGTTTTCAGGGTCGGTTGTTTTCTGGGTCGGTGTTTTCGGTTCGGTTTCCGCCACTAACCTAAACTAACCACTAACATAACCACTAGTCCACTACCCTAACGCTAACCTATTCCCTAACCACGGCAACCTCGTTCCCAGGGCTTTCCCCTTTTTGTCAAAAAGGGAAAAGCCCTGGGAACGAGGTTATAACATTGAACTATAAATAAACTGGAAGGCTAACTCAGGGGGGGAAATTGAAGCCAGTGCATTTTAGTTTTTCTGAGTTATGAGCAGAAATACTCAACACTGAACGTTGGGCTATATATCAAATTGAAGCTATTGAAAAACTCTATTTGGTGTAGAAATTTCAAGACTTTAGCTAAAAGGGAAATATTGAAAAACTACAAACATAATTACCGATAATTTGCCGTTTTGCAGTTGTTTTTGTATTTTTTAAAGATTTTTCTTTTTTGCTGAAGTCTTGAAATTTCCACACCGAATAGCAATTTTCAATAGCTTCAATTTGATATATAGCCCGACGTTTGGGGTCAAGTATTTCTGCTCATAACTCAGAAAAACTATTTTGGCTTCATCAAATCATAAGCCTTCATCATAGCAGTTAGCCTTCCAGTTTATTTATAGTTCAATGGGTTATAACCATGGGAATTTTACACACCGCAACACACCGCTAAACCGCAACACACCGCTAAACGCAGTGGCGGCGTATTCTAGTCTTCTAGAACCTAGCCCTTAAAAAACAGATGGAATTAAACATAGCTAAAACGTTGGAAACTTGGGACTAACTAGAGTGAAAATTATTATTATTATAATTTTATATCTAACTACAAAAAATTTACATTCTAAGTAATGGTCGAGTATTGAACATTTTGAGTCTCAATTCAAGCTAGTAAAAGCTACGTTCATTTATATTACACATTGCTTTCCTAAACGAGGACATGTAATCTTCAATGATTTAAGGAATTGTGCTGTTTCTGTCTTTGACCACTAGAGAAAGATGAAGAAAGGAAAGGGAAAAGTTATACATTAATTTACAATTTGCCCAACTTCAATTTTTCTGGGGGGCAGCTGCCTCCCCCCCCTTGCACGCTTATGGATGGATTAAAACAACAAAGTATAGAGCATTGCATGCCTTAATATGAACGGTGTTTTTATTTCCGTTTTCATTCCGAAAAATGTTTGAAACTTGGTACCCATCCTCGCTGTGACCCCGCCACACTGGGCCTGTGGTTGTCTGTGATCGCTTGGCTGTTTGTTTGTATGAACGGTCTAGGAACAAATATTTGACCCATACCTTCCTTGTTTCATTCACTATTTCATTAGTAGCACAAGTTATGTTTTTGATCAAGAAGTTTACCTAAAAAATTCATTAAGCCCATTTACACAATACAACTAGTCGTATACAATTGTCATTCTGCGTATGACAGAGGTGTAATTATACCATTATACTTACTTTGAGAATATTTCCATGTCTTCTTCCACATTTTGTAAATTGAGAGCGAGTAGAATATTTGTGCAGTAAAAACCTACAAATGAACATATTTTTAGTAAATTAAATATAATTATTATATTACCAAAGCTTTCTTTGGTAAGAATGCAACATACTACCTCAAAACACAGGACTAGCTGAAAAACACTTCAGTGAGTGGAGCTTCTTGAATAAATATTATTATTATTATTATTATTATAAAACTCGACCTACCTTGATATGACGAGGGCACACAAAGCACAATAGCAATAATGATGGTTTTCTGCATAATTCTTTAATTTGTTGATTCCCACAGACGCGCTCTCTTCAGAACGAGTCGTATCTGGTTCTTCAATTGAACAATTCAACATTCTCGTATTTAGTATGTCTTTTGTATCAGCTTCTGTATGTTTATTTGACTGCAACAACCGTCGATCTAGTAAGTCTTTTCCTTCCACAGTACAAGACAAACTTCCTTTTGAAGCAATCGTGTTTGTAACTGCATTTTCTGCAATGTTTAGTAGGTCTTCTTT